GTGCTGCCAATGGAGGAGGGAACGGTCCTGAATGTGGGTCTCTGAAGTCTGATGTGGGGTCCCTTCCCTCAGATGATCGGGCTACCCCAGTCTGTGGCCCTGTGAGAAGGGAGTCCTTACCAAGCTCTTCTCCAGCACGTGCTATGGCTTAATGAATGAACTATATTATCCAGACATGGTGAGCTTCATCCGCTGAAAGCTAAAAATAAAAGTACTATCTAATCGGTTGATTGGAAAGAAGATAAAGGATGGATTGGAGTGTTATAGAAGCACTTCACAAGTAGCAATCAGTAACATTTATCAAATGTGTGCTTTATATTAGCCAGAGCATTATCTCATTCAATCATTTTCTTCCTTTAATCTTCACAATAACCTTCACTAGGTAAATACTATTGTTATCTACATTTTACAGGTGTGGGGGGAAAAAAAGGTAGTTATACAACTTTCCCAAGGTCAAGATCACACTCAGGATCTCCCAGTCCAAGACCACTGCTGTTCTCACCAGCGTTGTTGTTAATGGCTGGCCAAAGACAACTCCCCGTGCAGGTGGATGGTGGTCTCCTGAGTGCTACAAGGGCAGGAGGAGTCAGGGTTTACCTGGCCACTCTTGGGGGGGACTCACTAGGTCCTGATCTCTCAGGGTGGACCCCCAGATCCTCTACCCCAGCGGTGTGACTTCCAGACTTTATTTCCATAGATGCTTATTTATTTTTCCATATGGAATGACTCTGAAATTGACTAGAGACCTGAAGCTTCTCAAATGCTAAAGAAAACCTAATTGTGGCTACAGTACAAACTTTCAGATGATTTACAAGTGAAGAAAAATAGCACAAGCAAAGAAAGCGGAATACAGGGGGAAAAAAAAACCTTTAATTGGCAGAGACACATGGCAGATGAGTAACAGGACATGCTGGGAGGCAAGGTTAAATGCTAAAAAGGGAGCTTCTCAGGGGAGATCCTTATCAAGCTTCCTTTCATTCTGGGTTCTGAAAGCTAAAATAAGTACCCTGGGCTCCAGACTGTCTTCTTAAAGGGCAAACAGAGATACTGAAGTGTTGTTAGTACCTTTGGCACATGACCGGAAGGGAAGATCCTGCTCCTTCTGGAGGGATGAGCCCACCGTCAGGGCATCACAGACAGCACTAGACAGCAGTAAAGGTGACACTTGACATCTCAGGGAATCAACTTCCCAGTGCAAAACCTCCATGTAGTCATGCTGAGAGAAGGTGAGACAATGTGTAAGGGACACCGCTGTCCAGAGTGCAGCTTGGCAGTTAGTTATTCATTTGACCTAACTTTTATAAAAACTGTGTCTTGAGTATTTCAGACTGTCAGTCTGAAGTGCAGTGACCAAGCCTGGTAATCTGAGGTGAGTATCATGTGTTGAAATATTTCCGGTCAGTCTGTCAGTCTTGTGGCAGGCAAGAGCCCCAGCAAGGGAAGGTGGGTGTTCCCCCTTAACTTACTTCCCTGGAAAAAACTACAGGAATCCTGGGTCTCCTGAAGGAGGTGGTAAAAGTGACGACACAGGTGTCATGCCGAATAATCGTGGTGCCCCATGCAAAATATCACCACAGAGTTACTAGATTATCAAGCAGCATGAAGGTGAGTGCATGAAAGTTAAAAATGTTCCTTTCAAAATAGTTTATTAATTTCAACATGTAAAAAGATAATAGTGAGGCAAAATTAGTTACATACCTAGAAATTGCAAAACACTGATATTTTAGTGTCGTGATTTTATACAATAAAAATACTTTATTAATGTGATGTCTTCACTATTATACTTTTATACTTTGCTTTTCTGAAAATTCATTTCTTCCCTCATCATCAGCTTTCATTCATTATTTGTAAAATGAAATCAAAACCACAAAGAGATATCAGCTCAGATGTGGTAGCATGACTAAGTATCAAAAACCCAACAATAACAAATGTTGCGAAAATGCAGAGATACAAGAACGCTTGTGCACTGTTGTTGGGAATGCAAATTGGTACCATAATCATGGAAAAAAGAGGTTCCTCAAAAAATTAAAAATAGAACTACTGCATAATCTAGCAATTTTTTGTCTGGGTGTATATACAAAGGAATTAAAATCAAATTCTCAAAGAGGTATCTGGGCTCTCATAGCCACTGCAGCATTATTCACAGTAGCAAAGATGTGGAAGAAACTAAATGTCCCTTAAGAGAAGAATGAATAAGGAAAATGTGACATAAATTCATAGAGTGGAATACTATACAGCCTTAAAAAAGAAAGCTTGTCATTAGTAAGAATGTGGATGAACCTTGAGGACATTAGGCAAAGTAAAATAATTCAGGCATAGAAAGGCAAGTGCTTGTGATTGCCGTGTGATGTGCAATCTGAAGTGGACAAGCTCATACATAATAGCAGACTGTAGATGGTGGTGGCCAGAGACAGAGTGGGGAGAAGGAAATGAGAGGTATTTAGTCAGGGGAAATTAAGTCTCAGTTGTGTAAGATTAAAGGTACACTATGGTGAGGAGAGTTGACAACATTGTATTGCAAAATTGAAATTTCTAAAAGGATTGGTTTTAAAGCAACACATACACACACACTCAATGGTAATGTACAATGAACATAAATCTTTAGTTTGATCCTGGTGATCTTTTTGCAATGTGCGCATATATCAAAACATCAAGTGGTACACCTTAAATATAGACCATTTTTAAAAGTCAAAGATATTTCAATGAAGTTGTCAAATAAAAACCAAAAAGGGTACTTTATTTTTAATTTAATTAAATAAAAGGCAAATTAATTCTCTGTGGAGAGATCATTTGTAGAAGATACTGTAGGTTATTTCAATGACTTCGCAAAATGGGACTGCACACAGGAGGATAACCACACACTCAACTTGGTTGGCCCAGGACCCACGAGTCTGCCCCCTGGAAAACTTCTTAGTTCTGGGAAAACTGAGGTTTTCTGACCTTTGCAAGCCAAAGAATGGCTCTAACCTAGATGATCTGTGTATTTCGAAGGTTTCTCTTGAGACTCCTGTTATAATAAAGCATAATTTAAAAACTGGACTCCATTTAAAACACAAGATTATATGATGGTATTTGGATGTTGCTCTGACATTTCCTACAACTTGTGGAGGTCAGAACCTGAAAGTTACTTTATGATTTATCCATGATTCAAATCATTTGTTCATGTATCTGTCACTAGACGTGCTAGAATCTCCCTCATCAATGCTGACCCATTAGAGCTTCCTCAGTGGTCTTGCATGATGGTGCAGATCCCACTCCACATGCTCAGTCCTGCACCTCTTGCCTGTCCAGAGACCCTCTCCTAACACTAGAAATATTCCCGGTGAAGAGTTTTAGTGGATTTTGAATTCACCATTCATAGTCAATATAAAATGTGGCAATAAAAAAAAATTGCTACATCTTCAGATGAGTTTGCAATAAGAATTGATTAACATCAGGAAAGCCTGACATTTAGAAAGCAAATTTCTAATATAAAAATAGGGGGGGAAAGAAAATTTATATTAGGAAGTTGGAAAATTTGCATATCAAAATATAAATAAAATTCTAGCATTTATTTCTTCAATTTGATTATGTGTCCTTATTAAGGAAACATTTCAACTATGATAATTATTTTTTAAAAAATTATTAAATAAAGTGAGACTAAAACCAGTTTTCCAATATTACACAAGACTAAACAAGATCTATAACATTTAGCATGGTCGCTCATATTCTCACTAAACTTGGTTTTAGTAAATAACTTGTTAAAAGTATTTTTGAGCTGGAAATAGAAATCATTTGAAAACTATGTATATTGCTTTTTAGTGCATTTTTGCAAAATAAATGATAATTAGTTAAAAAAAATACAGTAGTGTATCAGGATCTAGCCTCAAGTATTCTCTCCTAACAGTGTTGAAATTCCAGAAACATCTAAGCTTACGTTTTCTCTCTCCTATTAGACCATATAATCAAAGAAATCGGTTTTCATTTCTGATTCTTTTTCTTCCCCTACAGCACATGGTACAATATCCTGCACGTGGCAAATGATCAGTAATTATCTGTTGAACAAGTGAAAGGATAAATGCATGACTGCATTGGGCTGATTTGCAAGTCATGATTGAGAACCCAGCTGCCAATTCTTTTTTTTTTTTTTTAAGATTTTATTTATTTATACAAGAACTGGGATACAGGTCAGAGGTGTGGGAGGGTGAGCGAATTCACCAGAGACAGAGCGGGGAGCAGAGCAGGCAGATGGACCGAAGACACTGCTGAGGGCAGCAGCGGGCGAGACAGGAGAGGTCTGCTGCGCCATGTGGGTTTCTCCCTGGCCAGCCAGGAAGCGAACCCGCCCTGCAGAGGCTGGGGACAGCTTCACAGCGTGGCGCTCAACCCGCTGCACCACCGGGCAGGCCCCCAGCTGCCAGTTCTTATAAAGAAATTGTTTTCACTTTCCCAGGCTATTTCACTGAAAGTCAGCTAAGATCATGGCACCCAGAGGACCTCCCTTCGACTTCCTCGCTGCTCAGCCATCCTGTCATCAACTCTGCAGAATTCCCTTGGCCCAGGTGGTGCTTCCAAAATACATGTTAATTTAATGCAGGAACACTCCCATAATGAGGCAAGATTTGAATACTTTCCTAGCAAACAACAACCATTACAAATTAAATGAATATGCTCCCCAAAGAAACAAATAAATTACCAAGAAGAATGTAATGGACATATCTTTTTTCCTGCCTTTCATTTATGAAGCTTTTCAATGAAAGTCTTTTCCCTTTTATCTTTGAGTGTTAGTGAATACTCCAAACCGACAACTCTGATAGCTGTGGGCCAGCTAAGATGAAAAGTAAAAAGACATGCATTTGGGACACAGGTGTGAGGTGGGGGCTGTTCTGGAGCATTGTGTAGGCAACAGGTGATGGTTGGAGGGAGGAAACCATTTTTACATTTTCGGTGTGATTGTTTCCCAACTCCCTTTGCCCACACCTCATTCTTAAAGAGAACAAGATACAATGAAGTATTTTTACACACACACAAAATACATATTTCTGCTGGTAAATTCCTGGTAAAGAAGATTTCTATTTTCACCTTTGGTGAATTAGATTACTTGAGTCAACACTCCTACCAGGGACAACTAGATTAACAGCCTTGAAAGCATTAAAAACACTCTCAAATGATGAAATATCAATGTACATAAATGAAAAGACTCAGTTTAGAAAAGAGATAAGGATGTCAGCACACTTAGCAAATTATCCACAATCCAAAATCCTATTTTCTGAGACCCTGATTCTCAAATCATTTCTCCAGATGATCTGTGCAGTTTCATTAAGCCGAACCATGATGACTTAACGATTTTCAGCGTCTCCCCATTGTCCTCAAGGTCAAGAACAAACTCCTCAAAATGGCTTCCCTGACATATGTCTGCTCCCTTTGTCAGTCTCAGCTAACCTTTCTGATATCAGCAAGTGGTACCTTGTACAGTCACTATCCCTAGCTCCCTTGCCTTTGACCTCCTAACTGGTCTCTCAGAACTCTGCTGGAACATCACCTACACACAAGGCCGTTCTAGAAGCTCCTTCTCTACAGGATCAGGGTGCTTGTGCCCCGTATGCATGCTCAGTCCTGTCTGCACCGGCTTTTGCTCCTCTGCTCCACAGCCTGCACTTGATCGTGGGCTCTCTGCTCTCATTCAGCTGCACACTGACTGTCACACAGCAGAGGAGAAATAGTCACCGAAAAGGTCAAAGAATGAAGCAATGAATGAATCAAAGAGACAAAATTATGCAGATTTGTCTTAATGCCATGGACTAAATGCACCCTGGATGCCTGGCTTCCTTCATTTATTCCTCCAGCAATGATATGCTACCTGCTATGATCCACGTGTGTTATTAGATTGAAACATAAATTGCTGAGATGAGATTTTTTTTGACCATTTTCATATGGTCTATCCCCCTATAACCACTGGTGGGAAAAAGTGTCTCTGGGAGAAGTTAGGGTGTCTACACCAAGTCCTGATATATATTAAGCACTGCTAAAATGATTCTCTTTTTGAAATTATATCAAATAGAATGCCAACAGCCCTTGAAGCGATAAAATGTCTGCTGCTTCTTCATCTGGAATCAATTAGTTTATAAATGGTGGTCATTGAAAAAAGCCAGCTTGATCCAAGGCAGACACTGGAAAACACCAATATCTGTAAACCGATGGAGAAAACATCTGCCTAGATTTGCCTCCTGAAAAAGGAATGGTGGCACATATTTTAAAGCTGAAGTACTCTAAGTATGATGCTTTATGGAGGACATAATGAGTCCTGACAGTATGACAGATGTTGTATGTGGATTAAGAGCAGACCCTGTCCCTGTTTAATGAATCCAAACTCCAAGTTCTATAGACATTGCGAGCAAAGATAAAAACACCCCAGAGAGAAGCGAGTGCCTGTCTGAAGAATCCCAAATGGCTTCTATCACAAATAGGTCTCCAGGAACCTCGGACTGGTTTCTGCATAAAGCCAGCAGAAATGAACTTAAAAAGGTGTTTTTCTTATTAAAATCATACCATAATTGCTCTCCAAGTTTCCTTCCAGTCCGCTACCTCATGGACACAGCTGGAAGGTCTAGAAACAGGTCTGTGCACTTTCTTTTTATCCCCCCCTATTCCCCACCAGAATGCTATGAACGCCCTCTTGCAGTGTAAAATGATTGTATCCTCCTAGTGTGAGCAGGAGGCGAGGCAAGCAGATCACTCTCTGTGTTTGAAGACCCTGCAGGAATGATGGGAACTGAGCCTCTGTGGGCACAGACTGGAGTTGATTTGACAGGCCCCCGAGCACAGCCAACCACTCAGTCTGTGACTGAGATCTCAGAGTTAAAATGGTAAGCACGTATCATGCTGCTTGAGTGAAGCGCGTTGTGTAGAATCAGGTGTGAGGTTCAAGTTCTTGCTCTGCCACGTAATCCTTTTACAGCTTGTACCTTGTGGGCTTTAGCTCCTTGGCCTGAAAAAAAGCACAAATAGTCATGAATATTAAATAAGATCATTTATTTGAGACATTTACCCATAGTACCTACCACGAGGTAACTGAGTGACTACTGAGTCTCAATAAATGTGAGCTAAACTCAAATCACCGAAACTGACAGCCCTATGGATCAAGGCGCTCTACGCACAGCAGCCCTCCTTGTCCTGAAGCTCAGAGGGGGAGGCGTGACAAGAGAGACAGTTACAATTAGCAGTGGTCACCTGACTGGGGTGTGAACTGTTTATAACTGTAAAGGATCCACTACTTCTTGCTCCCATCTTTTGTTGACAGAAGGCTTGCCTGGTGATCTGAAAAGGCTTGAAACTGCCCCCTGTTTGCATTCATATTATTAGGATATTATTATGAAGCTCTTTGAGGTCAAACAGTCATTGACGGCTACGCCACCATCACTCCTGACAAACATCCAGCCCTCACTTGCCTTGCATTTTTTATTCTGAACATAAAGTTCTACTCCAGACACACCTGCGCAGGTAACAAAACCTCTCTAAGCGCCTATTCTTTCATCTTAAAACAAATATGATGGCAGAATTATGAGGAATCACTAGGGTGAAGGGGATGAAGTCCCAGGAATGTTTTGGGCACATTCAATACTCAGTAAATGGCCAATATTTTCATGATGGCATTGAAGGCAAGTAAATGTAGATGCAATCTCCGACCTCACAAGCACTAGCCCCTTGAGACTGGGCACACAAAACTTTCTGAGTCCCTGTTTTCTCATCTGTAAAACGGGATCCATCATGGTGACTCCACAGGATTTTTGCAAAGACTATTGACGTAAAGAAAAGCTCAGGGGTCCCTGGACCTGGGTCTTGTTTTCTTCCATTGCCCCCTAATCCTGGGTGTGCTCAGTTCCTTTCCCTGAGGACATCTTTGAGAAAGAACTCAGCAAAGGCAACTTCCTCAGGAGACCCCAAGGACACAGGTGAATGCAGATAAGGCTAAGCCATTTCCTACAACATCCCAGAGTCCTGGATTTTTTTTCTCTCCCTTATCTTATTTGCACTGGTATGTTCTAAAAGGTTGGTTCCACTTGTGTCTGCCTCTCAACTATTCTTCAAGCTACGAAGGTTTGGCTCAGGGTTAAAAAATAATATTACGTTCTGATGGTTTAAGAAGCAAAGCATGCCTGGAAAAATACCCAGAGCAGGAAGGGGAGAGAAAGCCTTCGCGGGCCGCAGATGGGCCTTGCAGCTGGGAGGAAGAGCCTTAGCATCGGGCACAGGAAAATGTTGACTGGGAAGCCCCAGTTTCCCTTAACACAAAGGTCACCCTCGCCTCCGTGTGAACAGAATCATGTTTAAGGTACCATGTTGCTTATGCAGTTTATCATTCCGCCATCCTGAAAGGTTTTCCGCTTGGCAGCATTTTCTCCTCCGCTAATCCAACTTTTCTTGGAAAATGTCATTCCTCTTGAATTTTCATAGTTCTGCCCCTCACTCAGGCACCTGGGATTTCCAGATTAAAGCTACCGATCCGGTGGAAGGAGGAAACCGTGGGCGTTGGGGAAGCAATTCATCACCATGGGTGCCCAAGTGGGTTAATTTCAGAGAAATGCCAGCCAGGTTCTCTTCTGCCTGCTTCACTTGTCTGCTTTATCTTTGTATGCAGGCAAGAGAGTCTATCTCTGGCCTTCTCTCTGGTTTATGAGGAAGGTAAGCTCCTGCCTGTGCCTCCTGCAGTAAAGGGGTCGAGGTGCAGCTGCCTTCTTGCCATGAATGTGGGGCACAGCGCAGGACAGAGGGCACCATATGATCATTGTGGATCACCCTGTGGGCAGATAAGCTGTGAAGGGACTTGGTATTTGCTGAGCTGCCTGCCCAGCTCTCCCCAGGGGAGATGGGTTCAATCAAATGCTGGTGGATAGAGAGCAATGAAGTGAGGAAATGCTCTGACAAGCTGATCCCCAATCTCATGCTTTTTCCCTCGTACCATAGAGTCAGGATCCTGTGGGACAGATATTGTGGGGGGATAATAATCTGATGGCAGGACCTTAAGTTAAAGTGCAGCATAATCCAGTGTAACATTCTGCCCATCTGGATGTGTTTTTGGACTTAAAGCGGACTCGCAGGTGCCACACACCATGCCTCTGAGATCAACATTATTGTGAGCTTGGGAGGAAACACTCACTTTGATGCCATTTGTTTATTCTGAGACTTTGTCCACTGCTCCTTAATGAACACTACGTAGCTTTGTAAGGCATTTGAGAGACTGTAGAGGATTGTAAGTAACTATCAGAGATCCTCTTGCAATGGGTAATGATTTAAAAACAATTAGTCTTAGAAGAGAAGCCAGGCAAGATGTAAGAGACATGATGGAGGATCTTGGGTATTAAAAAGAAAGTAGTTCTTATTATTCACCTGCAAGCAAAGTTGCCAAAACTCATCCAGAGCAGCCCAACGGCCAGCAAGAGCCCCCATCTGAGCACCCCCTGCAACTGCCCTTCAATTCCCACCTTTCAGCTTGATCTCTTTTCTCTTTTTTGTCCAGTTCTATCCAACTTTTCAAACTTACTAAATGGGGCCTCCCTGGTGGCACAAACAGTTAAGTCCCAGCACTATCAAGCTAACTGCAGCCATGGCAGCACCAGCACAAGTTCAATCCCTGGCCAGGGAGCTGACCCACATGGCACAGCAGACCTCTCCTGTCTCCCCACTGCTCCCTTCAGCAGTGTATTTCAGTCAGTCCACCTGCTCTGCTCCCTGCTCTGTCTCTGATGAATGCTCTCACCCCCGACACCTCTGGCCTACACCCCAGCTCTTGTATGCATAAATAAATAAAATAAATCTTAAACAAAAACAACTTACTAAATGGATGTTCTAACACACCAACCCTACAACCCACTTACATGTTTAGTGGATTTTCATTATCTATAGGGGACTGTCCAGGGCAGGAGGGATCCTCGCCAAGCTGATAACAGACTTCCACCCATCTTTATGATACATTTTTATAAATAATTACTACTAAAATGAAACTGAAAAATTGTCTCAAGTAGAAGGATCGTTTCGATGAGATGAATTGCATCAGTGGTGCTCTGTGTGATGTTGGAGAAGCTGCTTCACCTCTCCGGGTCTCATCCTGCACCCCAGCCAAGTGAGGTGCCAGCACATTTAGTAGTTATGTATCACACCCCTCTTATCTTTGAAAAGTGCACTATGATGAAGTCTTGAAACTACATTCCTTTTCTCCAGATTCACCCTGTACTTTCATTGTGTTAACGACTCAATAAACCTTTATTGTGTTAATGACTCAAAATTGCTGTTCTGTGCATTACATACTTGGGAGTATATTCCAGATAAAAATAGTTCAGCCTCTTTAAACCCCAATTTCTCACTATTCTTGTAAGACTAACAGAGAGCCTGCTGAGTAAGTAGTTTCATGAACTATCAGCAGAAATGCCTACAAAACTGAAATCTATTTCTGGTTCATATATCCCTTGGATTTAATAGGAAATTCTCAAAAGGGAGAGAGAGAGGAAAAGCTCCATTGATACAAACCTTATGAGGCGGTGGCTTCAGTGAAGGCAACTGTAGCCTAGAGGTTAAGTGACCTGCCCCGTGTCAGAAACAAGCTGGTCAAATAATGTCCGGAGAGCACTAATGGAAAAGAGCATTCTGGGACCTTCCAGGCCTCAGAATCCCAGTTCCAAAAATGCCAACTGTTCCCAGAGTCTTTCCACAACCCCATGCTCTTGAAAGAAAATTCCCGAGGGCGTATTTACAGGGACACAGATTTGAGGAGCCCCTTCTCTACAGTGACAGCATATGACCAACTCAAAAGAAATTTTGCTGAAACCCCAAAGGGCTCAAGCATAGAGCAAACTCACGCAGATCAATCAAACAGCTAAAAGCTGTCCTGGAAACCACAGGGAAAGAGTTGCAATAAGCACAAAAGATGCTGCTCGCATTAAGTATCTGATTCCAAATGCACAAATTCTCCACAGTGAAGAAAATGATGTAAAATATATATAAATAAATTTTTTTAAAAATACATATATCCTTTCCTCTTTCTCGCGTCAAGACTTCATCTTCATTGTATAGGAGCTTTCTAACAGACCCCTCCCGATATGTGAGCAACTGCACTGGAGGTGTGCCAAGGGGATGTGTCCTCACGTTGCCCTTGAGTGCAGGTGGATATGACAAATGGGATGTGATGACAGTGATGGGATGTCACCCCCGTGATGATGGAGGCAGGCAGCCTTAGTGGACTGGCAGAGGCAGACAACCAGGCTGTGACCCTCCCACGGAGAGCCACATGGCAGGGCTGCGGTGGTGACCTCTTAGGCACACAAGGGCAGCTGACAGCCCACAGTCAGCAGGAAGCTGATGGGTCTTACAGGTGCAAGGCCGGTCATACGGGTGCAACATTCTAGAATGAGCATGGAAATGAGTCCAATTGAGCATACAGCGGGTAATGACACCTGGTTAGCACCTTAACTTCAAACTTGCAAACCCTGAGCACAAGACCCTTCTAAGCCATTCCTGGAATCATGCTCACCGTGGTCTAGACTCTTGCCGCAGATCCCCCTCTAGACCCCCTTAGGAATGGAGCAACGGTGGAGAACAGGAATGGAGGGCAGGAACGTCAACAGTGGTAAGTCCTTTGCCTATATGAAAAGATATAGAACAGATGTAGAAAAGTTGAGAGGAGGGGCCATTTTAGAAAGTATGGCTGTTACAGGACAACAATCAAAACTGACAGAGGTGAGATATGTGGTTCATAGAGAGACAGGAGAGGACCTCAAAGGTCAGAGGTCACCTGCATCACCCCAGGTCTTTTCAGTAAAGCTTCATCACTCCCAGGGTTCAGAGTCTCTTTCACTTGGGTGGAGTTCTGTGGTGAACAAGGAGTAGGAAAGCGCCACGAGCCTCTGATGGCAGAGACTTCCGACTAGCGGAAGCGGAGTAAGATGGCGGCTGCCCGCCCGGGTGGGTACTTCCGGGAGTAAGATGGTGGCTGCCCGCCCGGGTGGGCACTTCCGGGCTCCTCACCGTGGAGGAGATGCTCGACACCTGCCCAGTTTATGTTCTCTGGAGCTTTGGTGTTGGGAGTTGGCTCAGTTTTCAGTGAGGGAAACTCCAATAAACAGCTATCTGTGGTCACTCAGCTCGAAGGCGATGAAATGCGAATTAGATCTAGATCCTCTGACACCAAACCCTGGACTTTCTCTCCAGCACTGATTCCCAACCCACAGAGCTTTGGAAAATTACCAAGGAACTCCAGGCCTCACTCCAGACCAAGTAGCCAGAATCTCTAAATGTGGGGAGTGTGAATTGGGTTTGGTTTTATCTTTTTTTAATTTAACTTTTTAATTCTCCAGGTGATTTTAATATGAAGCTAGGATTGAACATTTGCCTCATGTGTGGCCCATAAGATAACAGTTTCAAAAGTTCATAGTGGAGCCAAACCCAAAGTGGTGTTTGAGGGAGAGGAATGATAGAATTTGCTACTTTTAGCATTCTTTTCTCCTGTGACTCTGCTTCTCCCTACAGCTACACAATCCAATATACACTCGCAAACATAGTTTAGCAGACTCTGGATCACTTAACATTACCTTTCTCACTTCTATAGTTTATCTTCCAAAATTAGCAGCCTAGTAGATCCCATATAGTGTTAAAAAAAAATACAACTAGGTGTCCACTCGTGCACAAGGCTTCTTTTCTTTTTAAGAGATTTATTTTATTTATTCATACATGCAAGAGCTGGGATGTAGGCTGGAGGTGGGGGGAGGTAAGAGGATTCACAAGAGAGAGAGTGGGGAGCAGAACAGAAGGATCTACTGAAATACACTGCTGAGGGGAGCAGCAGGGAGACAGGAGAGATCTGTTGCACCATGCAGATAGCTTCCTGGCCAGGATCGAACTCGTGCTGCAGTGAATGGCAATAGTTTGATAGTGCTGAGACTTAATACTTTGCACCACCAGGGCAGTCTGTAGGCTTCTTTTCTTGACTAAGATCTTTTACTAATAATTCTTGTGATCTTGGGGAAATCTTCTACAGTAAGTTGAATTTCCTACTCAGTAAAATTAGAAGGATGACCTTGAGGCACCTCAATCTCTCCCAGCTCTGAATTTCTGATAATTCATATCATAAAGTTATTTAAATGTTATAGAAATTATGTAGCTATGTGGCAGATAATTTAATAAATGGAAAATATGCTATAAAACATGAATTGCTTAAAACTTTATTTGGATACTGCTGTTTGTTGTATGTGTGAACATGTGTGTGTGTGTTTTCTTTGGGATTGTCAATATTCCACAAAGGAAGAAAAGGACCCTAGAGCATCTGAAGTTCTTCAGGGCACTAGTGAACTTGCCCAGAGATGGAGAGTAAATTCCTAACTTTGAATAGTGTGGAAATCCAATGAGGGAATCAGGAATTATTCTGTATCGTTCCCAACACAGACAGCAGTAACTCCCAGTTATTATGTGAACATGTTCTGTTTGGATCGCCTGACATCCCAAGACTGTCATGAGGATACAGAGGTGAGAGGTGATGACTTGACAGAGGTAAGAAAGATTTTCTAGATGTTCTCTCATTCTATATTTTGTCTAAGACTCAGAGAATGAATTCATCCACTTTCTCTGCTAAGAAGTACATCGAAGCCTGTGTTTGCAATTCCCATAACACAAAATAAGAAGAAAAAGAGGAATTATTCACCAAGAGTCTTGATTTTTCTCAAAGTCATGAGAAGATATGGCCCAGCAGTTCTTGAAATGTGGTCTGTGTATCTGGGATGCCTGAGACCTTTCAGGTGATTTACGGTCCAAACCATTGCCACGGCAACACTAAGACACCTGTCATTCTCTCACATGAAGTTTTCTAAAGGCTGTCACTGGTGCTTCCCCCTGCTCTATCAGCGGACAGTGCACTTGTGTCTGTAGCTTTTGTTTCTGGCAGAGCAGGCATCAGCAGCTATGGCCACAATCACAGGGCATCAGTGGCAATTCTGAAGATTCCAAGGGGTTCTAAAACCACCACTTTTGATAGTCGCTGTTCTAGCTCATCAAAGTAAGTCCATGTATATACATTTGTGGTGGTAGAAAATAAAATCTGTAAGCCAAGCCTCTCTGTTATCACACACCTCCCAACCCATTCTAGGTCAGCCAGCTTAACCTGCACATGCATCATGAGCGCTTTAAAAATTACAGGTACCCCAAACACCATGACCATATCCCCTGAAAGTCTGATTTAATAGATGTGGGGTTTTCAAAGGTCCCAAAATTATTTTGATATGCAGCAAAATTAGGGAAGCACTGTCATTGGGTGTCTGATGTACTCTCAGGGCAATCTGGATGCGCAGGAGAAGGAAGAGGATGCCCTCCACCCTCCTGGACTCCAGGAGGAACTCCCATGGAGCCAGGGAATAGGACAGGGGAGTGTGAGCTATTCTGGGGCCTCCCGCACACAGAAGCCCCTCAGAAACTGTGCACTTCGACTTAAAGCAAATGACAACTTCTGATCTGGATGTAGGGAGCAGGCATCCCTGGGGTCCTACTTTGACACTTTCTCAGGCTTCCTTGGTTTGGCAGTTCAAGGGAAACCTTCCCCATAGCAACCCTCACCCTCCCCTTGAACTTTCTCATCTAAACTGATCAACTAAGGACCCACATGGAACAGGATCTTTTTCAGCCTTCGAGACCAGCTCCCCTGCCAAGACCACGGCGGCTGAATCATCCTATGGCAGGTCTTCAGGGCTGCTCCCCAGAAATCACAGCCAGGCCTGCAAACTTGCTGTCTGTGTGTCAGGAGGTAGAAGACACCTGGGCCCAATCCCACGGTTGCCATGACAGCCGAGTCTAAAATAGACTTTCAGATACAAGAGCTGTTTGGCTGACTCTGACCTACATGTAAGCATAAATATTCTTCGTGTTGGAGAGGAAGTGATCTTCCCTTTTATTCAGGGAGATATTTGGAAGTGCAGGCTGTGGATTTGCTCCATAGGATTTTAAGAAAGTTTGAGAGGGTTCCTAAATCTTGACAATTATAATCACTTGTACCTTTTGCAATTATTTTGTCCAAGATGACACTGATGTCCCTCTTTGCCACCTGATTGCACATTATGTTTGCAGGCATTTGTAGAGAAACGCAATGTTCATGAGCCCTAGGGTGCAAAGGCAAACACTTATTTGTATCTGGGCTCAACCTTTATTCATCCACAATAAAAAGGGTACAGAGAGCTGGGAAGAAATTGGGGGGGGGTGACAGCAAGGAACGGTGGTGACTACAGAGGAGACTCTGTTTCCCTGGAAATAATAGTTGGGCATTAAGTAATCAAAAAATCCCTTGTTTCTTTTCATCTTGTTCCAACTCTTAAATTTTGTTACGTTTGTTCTGTCCTTACACTTCTATTGTCAGTAACAACATTTTCACAAACAAAAATTCTGGCATTTTCCTCTAGAACATTCAGCTGAATATAGTATTGGTAAAAAGCTCAGACTTCAGACTAGTGTGGCAGAAGTAAGACACAGGATAAGTGTGTCATACATACCAGTGTCGTGATAAACAAAATAAAGCCTAACACTCATGTTTTTATATTGAATACATGTTGAAATGAAAAAAGTTCAGATGTCTAAATAAAATATGTTCCTTAAATTGATATCACCTCCTTCTTTTTACCTTTTTAATATGGTTACTGCTTGTCTTAGCCAGTGTTCTCCAGACGACAGAACCAGTAGATCTGTTACCGGTTGACTCATGCAGTTACGGAGGCTGAAACCATCTGCCATCTACAAACTGGAGATGCAGGAGCTGTAGCTCAGCTCCAGTGCAAAGGTCTGGGGACCTCAGGGCGGGAGAAGTTGAGATGAGACATCCCAGCTCAAGGGGGAGGCAAACAAAGGGGTGAAATCATCCTTCCTTTACCTTTGGTTCTACTTAGTTCCCTAGTGGATAGGATGAGGCTACCCACACTGGAAAGCAATCCACTTTATTGAATCCCCTGACTTATGCCAATCTCAGGTGGAAACAGCTTCACAGACATGCCCAGAAATAACGTTTGATGTGACACATGAAATTAACCACTGCATTGCTTCATTTTATACTTAAGTGGCCATTAAACTCTTTAAATTACATACATGGTTTACAATATAGATGCATAAATTGACATCAAAGACAGGAGATGAGAGGGGTGATAAAGAAGGTGGAGGAGGAGCAAGTCTCTGCCTAAATATCACCTTCCTGAGAGACCTGAGGGACCTGCTCTGTGAGGTGGTGCTTACCTCCTCCATCCATAAGGTATCAACACCCTTTTCCATTTTCCTTATGAAACTCCTTGGCACTTGCTACTCTGAGATGACTTTGCCTGCTCATACCGTCATCCTGTCTTCTCTCCCTAGAATATAATAAGGCTCTAGACCTTGTCTGACTTAGTCATCTCTTCATGTCCAAGACTGATGTTGAATAAATAACTTCTGAGTGAATGAATGAATCAATGAGTGAGCGAGTGAATTCTGAGCCTGCAGTCATGAGGAGGCTTCTCTCAGTATCTCATCCTTCTTCTCTTCTCTTTGGGATGCAACTCAAGTCATAAGCCCAGAAGTCTCCTTCCAAATTCAACTCCGACTTTAATCTCTGGGTGACCCCATCACACTTGGGCACCTCAGTGAGCCAACAGCATCCTGGGCTTAGGACCTCACCATGCATCTTGGTGATTGTTCTCAGCTTCTTCTTCTCCACTCTGAGTTCTTCCAGGTTTGGAACCACATCCCTATTGCTGAATTCCCATCGCTCTGAATGCCTCAAAACCTGACATCCTAGCTAGGGAGAAACACAAAATAGTGCACGCCGGGTAATGGGTTTGATGTCTTGCTTTGCTAACTGGTTCATTTTGAAGGTGATTCATGACATTTCTGATGTTCCTTTTCCCTACTTGTTAAATGAAAGTTTCCTGGTTGAATTTTGC